GTTATGCCTTAATACGGTTTCGTAACAAACGAGGTTGAGTGCATATCCCTCTAACTACACAAACCACGATAGGCTGCATGACCATAAAGGAATACGACTCTGCATATCTCGTTTCAGCAGTCACTATCCTGTTCCTCTGGTCATTCTACTAATACATATTTAACGATAACTCAACGCAAGCGACAACGCACACTGACTTCGCATTTTGTTATCATTATCAGTACAGCAATAATATCAACCGTTGATGCAATCATCATCCTACGACTCGATTATTTTTACCACACACGAACTCCAGGTATGCGAATTCGAATCTACTAATCGCTGATCGACGCTATTTACTCTACTGCGGCTTGTAGTGGATGTCGAGTCGTGGACGGACTATGATCACCACTACTATTCGATTACGCGTACAAATATGACTTGGTTCCCTTGATAGCCCGTAAACCAGAAGGCTTTACTAGTCCAGATAAAGTATATTTATTGGCGATCTCGTGGTATCGAAATAATACCGAGACGTGCCAAAGAGTACAGGCGAATAAGCAGTGCGTGAGCAAGCTCGAACCAAACCAGGCGGTATATGGAACAAGAAGTGAGTCTGATACAGTTAAACAAATACAGTAAAACAATCTCTGGTACAATTGGTTACAATAATAATAATTGTTTCTGTTATTCCAATCGTGTTCTTATCGAGACTGGCCGGTCACTACAGGAGCCCCCCGCTAGAAAGGATTTACACTTTCGATACGTAGCGGTTTCATTCGTGGGACTGATCGCGAAACGTGCAATTGTAGGACGAAGACGTTGGCAGAACAGGGAGTGATCGTTGATCCTCGAGTTGCCACCAAAAGTCTTTGACGTAGAACGGTACCAGAAGGAACGTGCTGTATTGATTGCTTGGATTAGCATGCTACACCAGAGTGGTTTGTATCCAGAATCTGAAGGTTGCGTTCGTAGAGGTCCGGACCAGAAACGCTGCAGACGTAGGACGAAACCAGATTGAGCCAAGGAACCAGATGCGACCAGAATAACCATGTTCGGGACCAAATGTATACCATACGTATTTGGAGCCAGAGAGGTCGACTGAGTGCGTTGACCAGAGCGTGGGTGATCAGGCCAGCTTTCGCCAAAGTTTACTGAAGTCGACGATACCGGAACAGCGATGGTCGAAGGCGTAGGCAGATTGATCTGGTTTGGAGAATTGGCCAAGTTTGACTTGTGCTCGATGGATTGGGTTACCAGCTGTATTGCGTGTTCCAACAACGGCTCACCAGTTGTAGTGGATGTCGAGTCGTGGACGGACTATGATCACCACTACTATTCGATTACGCGTACAAATATGACTTGGTTCCCTTGATAGCCCGTAAACCAGAAGGCTTTACTAGTCCAGATAAAGTATATTTATTGGCGATCTCGTGGTATCGAAATAATACCGAGACGTGCCAAAGAGTACAGGCGAATAAGCAGTGCGTGAGCAAGCTCGAACCAAACCAGGCGGTATATGGAACAAGAAGTGAGTCTGATACAGTTAAACAAATACAGTAAAACAATCTCTGGTACAATTGGTTACAATAATAATAATTGTTTCTGTTATTCCAATCGTGTTCTTATCGAGACTGGCCGGTCACTACAGGCTTATCAGAACATATTTCACTGTTCTTTATCGTCATATTCAGTCGGCACCATAGACCAATTTCTATTATATTCTACATTACTTATTTCCACGATTTATTCCGCTGTCATACCCATAAACAATTTATTGCTCTATTTTCACGATATTTCGAATTGCTCATGCAAACATGCTATTTTATCACCCGAACAGTCACGACATAAATGCATGTTAAATTTTTTGTACGCTTACTAATTTACTCATAATCACATGCTAACATTTCCATTTCTGTCCTCATTTTGACAATTTTCATGTACATTTTCACATAAGTGTGACACTTTCGTTTATTAAACTCGCCCCTCGATTGACACTGTAACTTATTCGATGTAGTACAATTTTTTTTCTCTACATATTATTAACGTTATCCACATGCCATTTTCAAATAAATGTGCTAATACTTTAATTTTGGTTTGTGAACGCATATACACCTCCACCCCCTTGTTTATTTTGCATAACAGTGTTTCCTCCGGACACTCTGGGGGGAGCTATGTGGGGAGTAGTGTAACGTCGTGTACTATATTACACCTACATAGCTTATTCTAGTTTCTGGACAAGCCAATCAGCTATAACGTTATGAGTCATATTTTGATCTTGTTAATTATTCGCTTATTGACCTTGACTATTTTCTTATATGAGCGTTTGTGTATGCACCCTTCTTATCCTACCTATCACATGTCTGTCATTCATTTTAGTCTGACTATAAATGTTGATTAATGCTTGCTTATAACGAGTTGGCTTACCAGCCATCTCCCATGTATGTTACTTTTTCTTCGCTCGCTAACATTTACTCATGTGCTTACTGCCTTCTAGCCTATGTTATTTGTCAATAAAAATGTAGTTGCCACTTCCCTTTGTCTCCTGATATTATACACCGTTCAGATTGATATAGTAACGATCGATCGAGACGATCGATTAACGAAGCACTACACTACAACACTAAGTCACTGTCCGGGAAGACAATTCCCGAACCCCTATATTACTAATATAGCTTTGGTACTGACTGCCAGCAATCTTTCGGGGACAACGATCATAGAATACAGAACTTTGTTTAACATTCTTAGTTCGAGGAGACAATGGCTCATACGTACATAGAAGAACAGCCTTCACAACCGCATTTTAAATCCCTTTTAATGGTCAGAGAAACATAAAGATGGCATAGATTCCAACAAATCATTCTGGGTTTCATTTTAAATAATATATTATAAATATAGCCTGCAAGAGGGTAATTTTACATTGGTTTTCAGGAGAACCAGACACTATTCAGGCTTTTATGAGACTTGAACAGCACAGCTCAAAACTGTGGAGCAACTGCACATAAACTAGAAGATACGTTGGGCCAGGTTTTCGCCATACGTGAATTGATTTCACCAGTTATGCTACTATTGGCACACACAGCTACCCACGTGCATGAACTTTTCAACTGCTTCTAATTGCTCAGATCCAACAGTGAGTGCAGGAATAGGACCGTCAGTCTTGTAAGATAGGAAGGTGGGAATTACTTGGTATGTCTAGATATTTGCTGAAAACATGAAAACTAAGTATTTTGTTGATGATTAGTATCTTTCTGGCTCCTATGAAGGCTACTGTTTTGAGATCCTATCTTTACAATGGCTTTGTGATAGTGACATGTAAAGGCTCTTATATAGTGACTTTTTCAGACTAAAGCTATCAATATTCCGTTTCTTTCATATTGAACGAAAGTTAGATTTATTTACTTAGCATGTTTGGTGAAGACGCTGACAAAATGCAGTCATCTGTTAGAACTGAGTAATAATGCCAGGATGTTTGGGATGCGTTTCTCCCCATCCAAATGTAAATTGTTACTCCAGGACTGGCCTGCGTCAACACCTGAACTAAGAATAGGGAGCGAAGTAGTCGAACGCGTCGACATCTTCACTTATCTTGGAAGTCTGATCAGCCCTCATGGGGTTGGTGTCTGACGAAATTCCAGCACGGATTCAAAAAACTCGTCTGGCTTTTGCCAACTTACGTCACCAATGGCGAAGACGAGATGTCCGTCTATCAATTAAGGGACGAGTATACAGCGCAGCAGTTCGCTCTGTTCTACTTTACGGCTGTGAAACATAGCCATTAAGAGTAGAAGACACTCGTAAGTTACTAGTATTTGACCACAGATGTCTTAGAAATATTGCTCGCATCTGCTGTGATCAACGGGTAAGTAATAGTGAGGTTAGACACAAGGTATTAGGAAATGATGGTAAATCAGTTGAAGTTGTAAATCTTCATTCATTGAGATGATTGGGCCACTTATTATACATGTCCATGGCACGCAATTTCGACTAGTGTTGGAGACGGATGCAAGAAAGTTAGGGGCGATAAAACCAAAACGTGGCATCAGTTTTTTGAAGTTACTAACTTCTAGTCTGAGCCATGTTGGTAGATGCAGACTACTACTAATCAACCACTCTGTATAAGTCAGGTGGAGATCAGACTTACCTTCCAGTCTCTCTTAATCTTGATTGCATGAAAAGAGAGGTCAACTTGAATTGATTGTGATTGTTGCATTTTAGAAAAACTCCTTTTCGTGCCTGAACAGACTAGTCTGGAAGGGCCCATAAAGTCTAGCAAGGGCGAGCCAAAGCATAGGCCGAAAAATGTGCCGTAACCAGCACACAGGGTTCGACACTAAACGCGATTGTGGTAAGAGCGTGGATTTAACACATCTCCTATGACGGCTTATTCACGTGCTGATTTGAATACTTGATATTCATGCAGTGAAATGCTGCTGGGCTAAGGCCTGGGGCGATCGCGTCTATATCTTTATGTGTACTATGGATTGTATGGGTCTTGGTTTATGGATTTCTGTATGTGCATGCGAGCGGAAACTCCTATGTCTATATGTACTAGTGGGAGGAGTGGACTTATCAACGCCTTCTTTTATTACGTCACGCATACTAGCAACAGCGCCCATCTATGCCATTATATATAGCACTGGAATGTTTGTATCTTTGATACTTGCATTTGAACATATGCGTATGGAGCATACTTAGGGATAGTTTCTACGTTTCCCCATTGGTGAATATATTAGTTACTCATCGAAGCTTTTGGTTTGCATAAAAGTTTCCAAAAGTGATAAGAAAAGAGCCCTGGATTCCACTGCTAACCACTATTCATCTTTGCTTATAATTTTGGAAATGTTTTCTTTGAAGTAATACAAAATAGCAAATAATGGGTCTTTTTTATTTTGCTTTTTTTAAAGAAAAAAGCTTTCTCCAAATAACCCCTTTCTGACTTTAAAATTATATATTCGGAAAAGAATGTTTATTAATAAAAGTAGTTTTGTAATGAAATAAAATCACCTTCAATTATCGAATTAGTTATACTTACGATAAAATAAATTCATACCTGTTGGTACAATAAAAACTGTAATGAATGGACAAATAGTCCCTTGTAAAAATGAATTAAATAAATGTAACATATTAAAATGACTTGTCATCACTTTATTACTAATATTAATTGTAAAAAGACTGATTAGCTGGTTACACATTGATTCCATAAACTTTGTACTGATAACCACAATTAATAAACTGAATAGAATAATCGGTAAGGAATTTATTCCCAATACTGATTGTTTAGAATGTGTTGGTTTAAGACGTAAACCTAAAGATAAACCTAAATAAAAAGAAACACATGAATTAGTCCAATAAACAAACAGATATTTCAAAAATGAAATACAATATGTGAGTGACTGTTGCAATCATTAGTTCTATATGAACTAGCGTTTATCATTTGACCAAAGGATAAAACATGGATATATTCAGGAAACAAGTCAAAATATTTTCAACAACTATTCAACATTAATCAGTCCAGAAACCATGATAACAATGTTTATCAGGTTAAATAATTTTTTTTCATAGCAGACAAGTAATCTCGTATTACTGGATGGTGAATTTATATAAACTATGCACACAGACACCGAGTTAATGTTTATTAAGAAAACAGAATAATTGGGCAGTAGTTTTTTTTCATAATTTGAAACTCTTCAATGATATTTATCCATAATCACGCTTCATGTAGTGAAGACTAATTCAAGACTGTGGTGTAAACAGTTAACTATTGAAGCTAGTCATATGAGTAGATATCCAAAATTACTTAGCTATGACAAAAATAGACGAACTATCTCGTATTATAAAATAACTGACTTCACAGTAAAATGGGTTTTAGGACTACGTATTTTCTGTACTCAATTACTAACTACTCTAGCACTCAAGGCTGGACAGAATACTAGTAGATGTCTTCAGACTCTGGCTTGATATCAGTCCTTAAGATTGCTGATGATTATTTTTATTAGTATCGGAAATTAAAAATTTCCTGGTTGGTCTCAAAAAAAACATAGTAATCCATGACTGGGGACCTGAAATAATAAGGCACGAAATTAGATGCAGTGACAAGGGATGGGTTTAATTTGCAACTTTGTGAACATCTTTAATTTCAATATTACATCAGCTTCTCACTTTTTTCCTTCCGACCAGTTAGTTTTAAACACCACTAGTATTTTGACTAGTCTTCTTGTTCGGCTGATATGAAGTGCGACAACTTGAGCCGATACAATTGTTTATCATGAATCCTTAATTCTAGAAGATAGAACAGACAAACTTACGAAAACAAAATACCAGCCAGAAAATCATAACATGAAGAGATTAGTATTATAGAGGACATACCAGTAGCAGTCCCAGCAATTCGTGAAAATCCCATCATAAGACTTGTTGACAAGTGGATCCATTCTGGTTGTAAACATGCTGATTGTGCTAAAGTTATACTCCAATTAGGATCTACTTTTATACCATACTCTAAGAATACGCTGAAAACGTATGCAAACATGAATGAACCGAAGCCCAACCACAATAGTCTATTTGGATGAGTTAAAAGATAAACAGTTTGTACATGTAACCAGTTTATTTTGACTTCGTTTTTTGGACTGAGGAAACCATCAGGTGAACTAAATAATAACCCAACTGTGATACCTAAATTTAAAACAGAATATACGAGAATAAGTTAAGTAAACTATTGTAGCAGTTAGTAAGGAGATATTCTGAAAGAGTTTTTGAAGTAACAAATCACGTCATAAAGAAGAGTATCAAACTTAAATTAGTGAAAGTAATAACTGAAGTTAAATAAGATACAAAAAAAACATCGAAAATCGAACAAAATAAATCCATAGTGATATAGGTTACTCAATGTCATGTTGAGGATCAAATCATTAGAGATTAAAAAGTATATTTTATATCTTCGACTTCAATGGCCCTTCACATAAAATAATGAACTTCGCTAGAAAAAAGACTGGAAAATCATGGAAAAAGTTCACAAAAATAAACATGGATACAAAATCACAAAAAAGATTAAACTTTGTCTTATGTTTTAGCGCAGAAATTTAACAATCATGTTTCTACAGCTTTTAAAACAACTAGTTAATAGTAATGGATCGACAGCATTTTCAATGTGTCTACTAGGTTATCTAATCATTCTTCTAAGGATGAGGCTACTACAAGATGGATGTTCTAGTAAGTTCATAAAGAAATACATAACGCAACCTAAAAACAAGATGCAAACTTCCTCAGGTGTAAAGAAAACTCTATACCTACAACTTGATTTCAGAGGTGATATAACGAGTGAGATTCTAACATGTCAAATAAGCAGATCCATTAAAAAGACTTTTAATACCGCTAACTTACAAGTAACTTTTTCAACGAAGCCAAAACTAACGCAGAAAATTAAGGATACGTATTAATGGTGGAATCATCAAGGCATGATTGTTTTTCAGTGGCAAACAAGGTGTGTTTATCAATTTAATTACTTCTATTCGGCTAGCTAAATTGGCCGTACTCAAAGGTCCTTACGCACTAGTGAACACGTACAGGGTTGGTTGGAAACAAAGGTTACGGAATCTATTGATAATGCCATTCTCCCCCACTTGTTTGACCATGAACATATCATTCAAATTGAAGAGGCCTGCTCAGTTATATATCAAGTTCCAAGTAATCTACTAAAAGGCGCAAGATTACGTTTACCTTATATGGTCCAAGCAATCGGTATCAATTCAGAGAAACTCAGCTTATTCATACAAAAAAGATACATACAACCTGTTTGTCTACTTTGACCCACACTTCAATCTTAGCTCCACTTGTGTCACTTTCTCTTTCATTATGATTTACACTCCTTTCCGAGACATGTTTCCTTATGTTTAATTATACACTCATCTTGCTTATTTACATGATATTCTTATTAGTAAACATTCTCAAGGTTATTATTATTAGTATCATTACAACTATGACACAACAATTCCCATGTTGCGATTACTTGTTTTTACATACCATTTTAACTCATTGATTACAATTTATCACTTTAATTAAGGTGTACAGTTTTTCTTACCCTTTATGTATGATCTTTTCACAACTTTACCAATAATCTTATTTTGTTTAACAGTTAAATTCACGAGTCGATCTAATCTAGACCACTATTGAAAACCTGGAAGCACTGGATGGCCGTTTCGTCCTAGTATGGGACTCCTCAGCAATACGCGTCCACGAGCCCGCACGCAGTATTTGAACCCAAGACTTTCGGTCTCGCGTGCGAATGCTTAACCTCTAGTTAGTAATTTGCAGCATTTAAAACTCAATTATCGTGAAACTTGACTTTCAATTTATACAGTGGTTGAATCCAATCTTAATATTATGTCTATTGAAACATAAAATTAATCTGATTAAGTCACAGTGGCATCTCTTAGTTCAGTGATAATGAGTATCTTGTGGCTATTGGAAATATATTTTTATTTTCAAAGTTTTCACTATTCTACGATGAAAATATGTTCATTTTTACAGTTGGCACATTAGAATTAAACAGATAAGCGATATATAAAATATTTATTGTGGTTTTGAATATAGTGATTGAATAATATTTTTTTTGAAAAAAAACCCTGGTAATCATAAAGTAATTTAACAAAAATGAAGATGATTTTTTACCAGATATTAGTCCTAAAATGACTTGATGAGGAAAATGTGCAGCCAAATAACAGCGGCTAATTGCAATTAACCCAAAAACTAAACAGGATAGTGTTATCAAACATCGTTGATGATTTCGACTGAAATAAATAAGGATGAATGGTAGGGGATAAGTTTACAGAAACTCGAACAGAAAAAAGAAAAATTTATGTCTCGATATAAAATGAAACACTGCTTTTATTTGGTTGGTTTCCATCAAATAGATTCTAGTGTAGGCCAGTTTGAATACGACAATGACTAGTTCCTTCTGGGTCTTGGATAGCCATTTAGTGTAATTAAAAGTTTCAAATTGGATTGCCTTCTGGAATATGACTAGCTAAATATAAATACTAACCATCGACACAGAGTAGATTGTTTCTTATTGAGCAGTTACAAGACAAAGCAGTCACGATCCCTCATCATGACTTCATTAATAACTTTTAAACTCAATTCTTTGATCAAGGCTATTAACAATTGTCATATTTTAACCTCTTATGATAGAGCATATAAACATCTTCCAAAACTTATTTTCATTACATTAAGTTAGAAAGCATTTAACAAAGAATATAACATCAGTACATCCATATTGTTTTGGTAATAACTCCGTTGCTAATGTAAAGATTCACTTCATTTACTCTTCATTGGAGAATTACAGTTTCTGGAATATATAGTTCTATTACTGTAGTTACTTTTTCCTAAAATAGTCAACAAAATTAAGGTTGAGTGCTTTAATCACTTTTATCGTTAACTTAAATGCAATGGATATGTTAATCAATTAGGTCTAGGCAGAACAACATTTTCGAGAGTGGTTTCCCAAATACTTCCTAGTGGTAAATTGTAAAGTCAAATTGTCTTTAAGCATTAAATTGAACAGTAAGTAACAACAATAAAGCGAAATACATACTTTTTTAATCTATGGTAGAAGTAAGTTATCATTGGTGTTAGGCTTGCTACAGATACCATACAATGGCCTGATGGACTTCCAGGTCCAGTTTCACATGTTAGTGGGTACTGTTTTACAGATAAGTCAGGGTCGGTCAGTGATCGGTTCAGTGTAAGCCACCAATATGGCCGATGACCATATAACATCCTGCAGATTGAAAAATGAATCATATTGAGCCCAAAAGGCTTATAAAGACATTCTTAACAGTTCAAACCACTAAACATTTGAAAGTAAGAAAATAAACAATCTACAAAGAGTGTAAATGGGAAATTAACACTTATGAGTTTGAAGTTACAAAAAATATTAAACGAATGGATGAGGATTTCCCGTCAAAAAGATTTTCCAATTGCAGTTTTTCTGTATGTCCGTCGTGATCACAAAGAAAGAATTGATTATGCACTGATAATCTTGCTTTCATAGATATTAATTAGTGATAGGCCAGTAAAATTTAGATGTGATTGAGTATTTAACGTGAACAAACGGACAATCAGCTTACTTATTTCTTAATACATAATTTCCTTCACATCACTGATTTCTACTCTGGACTCACTGAGTGTAGAGTGCTTGTGATTGTGATGAATAAAATATTGTCTAACTTATACCTTGGTTCTGCATATATGGACGTAAATTGTATATCTGGTATGGCGTGATCCAGTTTGTGCATAGACTAACTGTTAGAATAAATAGAAGTTTCAGTGATGGTCCCCATTATACGTTCAATATGAGAGGAGAAAGATATTTTCTGGAGCTCCGGAATAAAATAAACCACAAATGTACAACAAATTCAGAAATATGGATATGAAACATTACGAACGGATGTTTACAATGTAATTTTATCGCATTAAAATATTACCAATTCAACGTTTCATGAAATATTGGTTAAATAGATAAAAAGATTGACAATACGTGCTTTACATTTCTATGACTTATTTTATATAGTTCACATCTATTTACGGATTTTCACTGTACTCTACTAACAACGCAAAGTTTACCAAGAATATCTGTTTCATGCAATAACTACTTATAGCCCTTCGTCCAAAAGACCTAGACAACAGGACAAAAGATTTTAAAGTATTTGTACAGGCTAAGACGATGTTATGTACAATCAGGTACATCCACGTTCATTTTAAGTCTAGATGTGTATTGAACGAGAACTCAGATGGGGACAACCAATTTACTATTCAATATGAAATTACAGAGTTCTATGGTAAAATGTGAACACCACACATTAAATATTACATTTGCTAATCCTCAATCAATTGTCTCGAATTCCATTGTCCTTCATTGCTATTGCAATTACTGTCTGCTTCCATTCCCGTTTTCTCCATATTGATCTTCTCAAACTTATGTCTGTCGACATAAGTAGCATACATCACAGATGTAGTTTCATTTCACAAACTTAGGTATATGTTGTTGAGAAAACTTCAAAGTGATTAAATAGAACTCTTTAGAAAATAAAAAAATGGTGACTACTATTTTCAACTTCGATTAATTCACATCGTTGAACTTTTCACTTGATTCTCATTCAACTGTCTCATATTATCCTGTTTACAAAAACTTCGACATCCAAATATGATTGGATTAAAAAGTATTAGAGATTTTGATATGATTGTAAAAAACACTATATATTTCTTTGATGATTTTGATTTTGATTATTCCCTGAAGAAGTCCAGACAAGTTAGCTGGACGAAACGTTGGAATTATTTAAATTTCAATCGCTGAGACTATTTCAAATATAATTTTTTCACATATAATGAAAAGGAATCGTAGGTTTTGTAGACGGTATGTTCAACAAAGAGAAAGTGACTGTAGACTAGTTAAAGAATAGCCAACGACTGGTTATAGCAGAATAAATCCACTTAAATCTCTAATGCCCTCTAACAATGGGCATTTTATTTTTCTCCTTTATCCTATTTCGATGCGGAATGACACAATGTGGTTACAATCCTTTCTCAAATATACTGAAGCCAATCCATTTCAACATATCCTTATCATTTGATTTTAAAGAATATCGCTTATTGACTAATGAATTCAGGTCATTTGATGCACTGGTATTTCTAGTTATATAAACAAACGATATTATTCTATACATGGTATAACACCTATCTGATATTAGCTGAGTAATTCAAAATGGAGATTAGCGTAGAACAATATTTCTATTTTGAAAATAGCTGAATGTTTTAGGAATACTGCATACAAACAAATAACGTCATTAAAAGGAAGAATGTGAAACATAAATCGTAGATACAAAAATTAACTAAACTTTTGGATCCAATACAGATTACAAACCTCAGCACTAATTAGAAAAATACTGACCACTTAAGTATTCCGTTTAACCAGTCCGCTAAAGCCGCACATAAGATTGTCGTGATCCCCAATGTTGGGTCAATATAATAAGCAGTTGGAAACGTCAGTGAGTAGGCAGTATTAGGACTACCGATATGACTAACGACTGTGAATAAAGGCTCCAGTTTCTAAAATCATAGACAAAATTCAGAGTTGTTGAGACCCAAATCTAATACAGAAGTGATTATTTTACTGAATGAGAACAATCAACCATATTGTCAGGACAAATAGAATAATAATTAGATACTGGTACATTTTATCACATTTTTGTTAGTTAACGGATTGAAGAAAATCTCTATTATAATTGTTTCATTATCTTACAGATGGATTCAATCTATTCAGATATGCTGTAGCTACTTTTAGTCTGGGATATGTAAGCAATGTAATCTTAGACTCTAAAGTTCCGTAGCATCACCTCGTAGTTAATTTGCACTGAAAATTTGCCTTGACTATGGAAACACACAACCAAACAAAACGATTGATTCGCATGCGTTCAAATCTGTTTTTGATCTGATTTTTCTTCATAAACTGCTCAGGGGGGTAAATAATAGCAAACCGGTTACTTATACTATACTTTCTCTCAAAATGGAAAGTTGGGGGAAGAGAGGGTACACCACTTGGTGATTTTGCGAATCGGCCCAAACTGAAACTACTAAACACAATTAGTTGTAATTTGTTTCAACATGGGATTCTGCCTAACTCAAGACTAGGATATGAGAAAAACCAAAGGTGGTCAGACCAGAACAGTGCAAGTTCTCTACAACAAAATGAATTATGTCGTCACTCCCAAGTGGCCTTCATGTACCACTATCTTTCCTTAGACGAATAAAATTTTGTTGTTAAAGCAAATAGATGAAGCCAGTGATGCACTATGAGATTGACTGACTAAAGCAATAAACAGAACGTTCAACACAGCTAACCTGTCTTTTGTTTTCCAGCCAACCTATGGTGATTGCTCAACTAAAGGATTAGTAACGTGGTTTCGGTACATCTATGCGTACCAACGAATTCAGCTGCTTCTGTGTAGAAAGCTAATACTGGGAGCACAACCAGACGACTGAGCCAACGAGTCAATTAACTCCTTAGTTCATAATTAACAAGGTGTGTTGTCAAAACAATACGCAGCTCTGTTCTGTCACACTTAATCAATATCAGTCATGTAGTAGATAGGAATAGGTCGGTTAAAGTGGTTTATCGTACTCCTACTAGTTTTCCTTGTGTAATTTAATCTCCTCACTTACACATAGCAGAAGGTATAGGGATTCAAGCAAACAATCCAAGTCCTTTTATTCATAAGAAATCTGTAACACTTAACTTTACTATGGTAAAGTTAAACTTAGTGAACGATCCTACGTATCATTATTTTCCATACGCTTAGTTCGTTTATTTTTCTTCGCCGCTTTGTCAATTATATTTTTACTTTCCAATTATCTGAACACTTCTTATTATAGGATCTTAATATTTTTGGATAAATGTTGAGTGTCTATTTTTTTCAAGGTTTTGACCCATAAACTACCATGAAACATTGATTAAAAACTTTATTATTCGTAACACACAACTATTACACTGTCATCATACTATCAATTTTCATCTTCTACTTATTATTCATTTAGTAATGTTTGTTTGAATCTTCCCATCGATGTGTTAGGACTGCAACTAGTCAGTCTCTAATTGGCATATGTGCATACTGTGCGTATTGCCTCGATATAGCCTTAATTCACAAGCATTGTGAGCAAAGATGGATAGTGGCTAGCAATGGAATCCAGGACGCGCGTTTCGTCCTATCTAGGACTCGTCAGCTGGACGTATCTGCATCTCAGAGTTGATCTTCACTCTGGGACTCGAACCCAGTACCCTTCGCTTTAAAGGCTATCGCGTTATCCACGGTATGCACATATGCCAATTAGAGACTGACCAGTTGCAGTCCTAACACATCGATGGGAAGATTCAAACAAACAATACTAAATGAATTTAAACTTCACCCCATCGCACATGCAAGTGGCTATCAGGACTCAGTGGACGAGTGGACAACGCGATGGCGTTTGTAGCGAAAGGTACTGGGTTCGAGTTTCAGAGTGAACATCAACTCTGAGATGCAGGTACATCCAGCTGACGAGTCCAAAATAGGACAAAACGCGCGTCCTGGATTCCACTGCTAGCCACTATACATCTTTGCTTCTACTTATTATATTTACTTATTTAATCTGTTCTACTGTTATCACTGACTCATAAATTCCCTTGATTGGTTTGGCACTTTTATATATGTGTATGAACATTAACTAACTCCGCCTGTAGCTCCTCTGGGGGTTACTGCCGGTCCCAAGCCCGGGTAAAGGAGGAGGGTTGGGCAAGGGGTTAGCAACCCCATCTCGTAGAAAATCAACTCGCTAAAAAAACGCTAACCAGAAAAAATCATTCAAACCTTTCAAACTCTGCCCTGGGAGTAGAAGGAATAATTATGACGTCTCATGATGAAAGCCGAGTTCATTCGGAAGTCATGAAGCCGATGCACCTTCTTACAACCAGAGCGACAATTTTTATAGGTACATGGAATGTCCGAACAATGTGGGAGACCGGAAGATCCTTCCAAATTGCTGCATAAATGAGAAAATACAACCTGGAGGTTCTTGGAATCAGCGAAACACATTGGACGCAGCTTGGACAACAACGACTGTCTTCAGGAGAACTTCTGTTATACTCCGGTCATGAAGAAGAAAATGACCCACATACACAAGGAGTTGCATTGATGCTGTCCAGAAAAGCACAAGATGCACTTATAGGATGGGAATCTCATGGACCAAGGATCATCAAAGCCTCCTTCAAAACAAAGAGAGAGGGCATTACAATGAACGTCATCCAATGCTATGCGCCTACCAATGACTACGATGAAGACGCTAAAGACCAATTCTACGATAGGCTGCAGTCGATCGTCGAGAAGTGCCCAACCAAGGTCCTGACAATTCTGATGAGAGATCTCAATGACAAGGTTGGAATGGACAACACTGGATACGAAGATGTCATGGGACAACATGGACTGGGAGGAAGGAACGAAAATGGTAAAAGATTTGCAAACCTATGTGCCTCCAATAAACTGGTCATAGGTGGCACCATATTCCCACACAAAAACATACACAAAGCCAGTTGGATTTCACCGGATCACACTACATAGAATCAAATCGACCATATCTGCATCAACAAAAAGTTCAGGAGGACGATGGAGGATGTGAGAACCAGAAGAGGAGCTGATATAGCATCCGATCATCATTTGCTGGTCGCCAAGATGAAACTAAAACTTAAGAAGCACTGGACAACGGCGCGGACAACATCACAAAAGTTTAATACGGCCTTTCTTCGAGATGCTGACAAACTCAACAAATTCAACATAGCCCTCAGCAACAGGTTCCAGGCCTTTTATGATCTACTCAATGAAGAGAACACTATCATGGAGAGCAACTGGAAAGCTATCAAGGAGGCAATCGTTTCAACATGTCAGGAGGTTCTGGGCCAAAAGAAGCACCATCACAAGGAATGGATCACTGTTGGTACACTGGATAAAATTGAAGAAAGGAGGAAGAAGAAGGCAGCAATCAATATCAGCCGACCCAGAGCAGAAAAAGCCAAAGAACAAGCCGAATACACAGAGGCAAACAAGCAAGTGAAGAGGAGCATCGGAACCGACAAACGTAAATATGTGGAAGATTTAGTGATGACAGCGGAAAAGGCTGCAAAAGAGGGAAACATGAGACAACTGTATGATACAACAAAGAAACTTGCTGGAAATTACCTAAGCCAGAAAGACCAGTGAAATGCAAGGAAGGCAAAGTAATCACCGACATTGAAGAACAACGAAACAGGTGGGTAGAACACTTCAAAGAACTCTTGAACCGATCAGCTCCACTGAGCCCACCCAACATCGAAGCAGCACCCACAGACCTCCCAATCGATATTGGCCCACCAACGATTGAAGAGATCAGCATGGCCATTAGACAAGTCAAGAGTGGCGAAGCAGCGGGACCAGACAACATCCCGGCAGAGGCACTGAAAGCAAATGTAGCAGCAACTGCCAAGATACTCCACATCCTCTTCAGTAAGATTTGGGATGAAGAACAAGTACCAAAAGACTGGAAAAAAGGACTTCTGATCAAGATACCAAAGAAAGGCGATCTCAGCAAGTGCGACAACTACAGGAGCATCACTCTTCTCTCAATACCAGAAAAAGTCTTCAACAGAGTATTGTTAAACAGGATGAAGGATTCCGTGAACGCCCAATTTCGAGATCAACAAGTTGGATTTCGTAAGGATAGATCGTGCACAGATCAAATCGCAACTCTACGTATCATTGTGGAACAATCAATCAAATGGAATTCATCACTGTACATCAACTTCATCGATTACGAGAAGGCATTTGATAGCATGAACAGGACGACACTACGGAGGCCTCTTCGACACTACGGCGTGCCTGAGAAGATAGTCAATATCATATGGAACTCCTATGATGGACTAAACTGCCAAATTGTCCACGGAGGACAGCTCACCGACTCGTTTGATGTAAAGACCGGTGTTAGACAAGGTTGCTTACTCTCACCCTTTCTCTTTCTCCTGGTGATCGACTGGATTATAAAGACGTCAACATCTGGAGGTATGCACAGGATATAGTGGACAGGCAGAATGCAGCTTGACGATTTAGACTTCGTGGATGATCTGGCTCTTCTATCACAAACGCAACAACAAATGCAGGAGAAAACGACCAGTGTAGCAGCAGCCTCAGCAGCAGTAGGTCTCAATATAAACAAAGGGAAAAGCAAGACTCTTCGATACAATGCAATACAATATGCACCAATCAAATTACACTTTACGGAGAAGCCTTGGAGGATGTGGAAACCTTTACATATCTGGGCAGCATCATTGATGAACACGGTGGATCAGATGCAGATGTGAGGGCGCGGATCGGCAAAGCAAGAGCAGCATACTTACAACTGAAAAACATCTGGAGCTCAAAACAATTGTCAACCAACACCAAGGTTAGAACTTTCAATACAAATGTCAAGACAGTTCTTCTGTATGGAGAGGATACGTGGAGAAATACGAAAGCCATTATCCAGAAGATACAAGTGTTTATTAACAGCTGTCTACGCAAGATACTTCGGATCCGTTGGCCAGACACTATCAGCAACAAGTTACTGTGGGAGAGAACAAACCAGATTCCAGAGGAGGAAGAAATCAGGAGGAAGCGCTGGAAGTGGATTGGGTACACTTTGAGGAAATCACCTAATTGTGTCACAAGACAAGCCCTCACATGGAATCCTGAAGGTCAAAGGAGAAGAGGAAGACCAAAGAACACACTACGCCGAGAAATAGAGACAGACATGAGAAGAATGAACAAGAACTGGATAGAACTAGAAAAGGAAGCCCAGGACAGAGTGGGTTGGAGAAAGCTGGTCGGCGGCCTATGCTCCATTGGGAGTAACAGGCGTAAGTAAGTAAGTAAGTATATGAAAATTATTTTATACTACAGTAAAGCCTGATGAGGATCTAATTGCGAACAATGTTGTTCGCCAATATATGTTGTTATTATTCACAATATGGGAATTTTCAAAATATTCGTTTGACTTTATGAGTTACACAGTAACTCTCCACTTACTAAAATTACAATGTAAATAACAAGACTTAACGTGTATTGACACGAACGCTTTTGTAAAGAATCAAATATGAAAGCTAACCACATGGTCAAACGTTATCAGTTTCGAATACAACAGTCACAATGATTAAGATAAAGTGCAAGCCAAAGTTTCTTCCTCAAAGCTAAAATAAGTCACCTGACACTGAGTAAGGTTAAAGTCAACTAATTTCAGATCCAGACTGCTCAGTGTATCAATGATAACCTGCGAAATTCCAGAATTTAAGGTATCTAGTTTACTTAACATATTACATCACTTAAACAAGTGGACACTAAATAGGTAGTCAGTCAGTTAGCTACAACGTAGAACCAGGCATATAAATGCATCAGTCCAAGTTGCCACACCTTATTAGTACAACAAGATGAACACCGAATTCATAGTAGTTACTTCAATGGTAATAATGCATAAAAGAAAGATTGTATATAAGAATATAATACAGGGAGAAAGAATTGGTTAGTAGAAAGAAAGATATAATGTAATTTTAACTTCACGGTTTAAAGGAAGACAAAGAGTGTATACACCTACATCATTGTGAAAGATTCTGAGCAATGTCATCCAGTCTGCAACCATTGGTTACAATAGTCACGCGGACCCCAATCAAGTAGTCTGCATATACCAACATGGCTCAGACTAGACGTTGGTGACTTCAAAGATTGATGCCACGTTTTGGTTTGGTCACCCCTACCTTTCTTCCAGCCGTCTCCAACACTAGTCAGCACTGAGTGCCGTGGTAATCGGTGGTTGGGTATGAGTAATAAGTGGCCCAATCGTCTCAGTGAGTGAAGATTCACAACTTCATCAACTGGTTTACCATCATTCCTTAATACCCTGCATCTAACTTCACGGTTACTAAATAGGTAGAGCTTACATAAAGTCCCTCGTACAAATATACCGTTTGGTAACTTGATCACTAATTCACAAACCTATACAAAAATTCCCTTCTTGTCAATCCATGCGTGCATAGCTTCTTATTTGTCACTAAATCTATATTTCCCATCATTAAATGTGGGCAACAAGTCGTTTTAATGTTCTATAAGTTATCTAATTTCACAAACTGTGATACTTTCATCTAATTACAAGTCATGGTAGTCGAAAGAGCAACTGTTAATTTCGATCATCAGTACAGGATTTACGGTTTGGAATAGTTTTGTTTTAAAACACACAATTTGTGACGGTTACAAACTAGCTTGTGTTGAAGCAAATAATTTAAGACTTTTTCATACAAAATCGCGTGTTCCAAATCAATATAAGATATAAATTATTACTTATAACCAAGAAGTTAATAAATTACAAACTAATTTATGACCAATGGCGTATGAACCAATTATTAGTCACTGGCCACCATGGGACTGCATCTCCTGACGTTGCTCTACTGCCTTGTGGATTAGACCTTTCGGTCAAAGGCTCCGGGTGTGGTCCCCTAAGAAAACCACCTGCTTCGGTCTGGGCACCCGGGCAATATCCAAGCCCTTACACAAATCGAATGATCTATGTGGCGAATACCTATTTGGTGCCTCCTTGTGCCAACGTTTATGCGTTTAAATAATAATAATAATAATAATAATAATAATAATAATAATGTTGAAAATGTACACCTTATAAACTATCTCTTTGTCACCTACATTTATTTTCGTATCGAAATGAATATTTGATAACTTAGAGGCTATGCAAAATTACCCTTAAATTATGCCTATTTAGGTTAAAGAGACTAAGAATTATTTGAGAATCACATAAACACATATAAATCCGTCAAAATCCGTATGGAGTGTAATTTATCACAGTAATGGAACTTAAATTACTCACTTCAAAGTTTTGAATCCACTGTATAAACTGGATGCCATTATTATGTATCCTATTCATTTTTAGTGCAACAGACTTTTGAATGATGTTCTTTCAGGACTGGAGACAAGCAAAATGTAAAGGGCCCTGAACAATAGCCTAAGTAAAGATATGCGAAAAGTAAAAAGTAAATGAAACACAAAAATGAATGAGCTCATCATATAAAGTTAACTCATCTCGTATACTACTTCATATATTAAACAACATAATATTGTGGACAGTGATCACAGACAATCGAACGATACGTCATATAAGTTTCTTTTCAAATCCTCAAAATAAGTAGATGATAACTGTATTCCGTTGTTTTCACTAACCGGATACCGTAAGAATCTGATCTTCTACATACATTCATTATCTTATCAAAGATTTTCAAGGTCTGATACAAACAGATGAGTGAAGTATTGTTAAAGGACTTGACATTTTTCACAAGACAAGGAAATCAACCTTCATTTTATGCTATCAGCCAAATCACGTGATGCTCGGAAGTTTGTGGTGCATTGGGATTCATATCATGTAAATATATGAAGACCATTTAATGCCTTTTGGTTTGTTAATGGCCTCTAACTTTACAAAGCATACTTTCTAATTGCACATCAAACCCTACTAGATACGACAAAACAGGACAACAGTAATTTTCAAATGTCATTTGGGCTTATTTTTAAAGACAAGTGGTAAATTCAATAATGATTTGGAGAGCATATTTATACGTGTACAGAATTACATAAGCTCGCAACTTTTAGGCTAACAGTCTAGAAAAGAAAATCTTTAATCCAATATGTGTTGCGATATGGTCACAAAACCACTTTTTCACTTCCAGTCTAGGAAATTAGGCCGGTGGGCAGGACTTTTTGAATTACAAACCAACTGAGATTCAGCTACTCTTCAATTACTCCGTCTCCAAACAACCTGAATAGACAAGTGATACAAGTCTCTCTAGTTTTGATAAGATGGAAAAGGTCATAGCTACTTCAAACCGAGAGTGAACCGGACTCCGATGGATTAACTTCGGAGATCTTTAAGGCCGGAAGTCCAACTGTTAACGCCTAAGCTGAGATGGCCACTAGACTTTGAGAGCTGGAAGTATTCATAGCTGACGGATCCTAATAGATGATCTTTCTAGTCCACATAAAACGTCAGAAATCTTATAACTATGACTGCAGAGTCAGTTTGATTAATCTGATATCTGGAATACTAATATTTCTAACCATTTAATGCTCAATTAAGGCACGTGAAGAGCAAACTCTGAAAATCAAGGCTGGTTGTAGACCTGGATGAAGGTGTATCGATCAAGTATTCACATTCCGCTATGCATAAGAATACAGGCATACTTTCTGATCCCCGACTGCTGTCCCATTTTTTGAATTTAAGACAGCATTTAACTCTGTTGGCTGAGAGATCTACTAGCAATGCTATTCATTTAAAGGTGTGCCAAAAAATTAACTAAACCTTATGAAGGCCCCCTACTCTGGCACTATTAGTCAAGTCAGAGCCTAAGATGAGAGATCATCAGAGCCGTTTATACGAAAAATTGTTCTTCAGAGTAGTCTACAACCCTCCCCTTTTTTGCTTGACTACATCATGGATGTTCCCTTACAAAAATCTCTTTCTTCATCAAGCTTTCAGAGGTTGATTTTTAACCGGAACATCTACTAATGAACTTGGAATACGAGAATGAAATGTCCCTAGTCTATGAACACGCTGACAAAATCCAGTCTTTTAGTTGTCTTGAGCAATCAAATTAGCATACAAATAACACTCTGGATAATTAAGCGACTTCGTTGTCACTTCCATCAAATTACTCCGACCTTATTCGCTACTGATCTTGTCAATTTGATCTTATCGTTCTATTATAGTATAGGAGCTTCGGGTAAGCAAATTTATTCCATGTTCTAAATTGTTAATGTTTGACAGGTGGCCATGATGCTTAAACAACCACCCTTGGTTATATAAATATATATACGTATATAAAACCATGAATCATTAGATCATTTATCGTTCTTCACTGAGAATGTTGCTAAAATGTGTGACAATCTTGCATTTATCAACTTAATTGCATTTAGTACTTTGGTAACCAATTCAAAAGTTATAAAGTCGTGAGATGGTTGTACGAGGCTACAACTACTAAGATAAACTTGAGCTCTTTGTTCGTAACTCTCAAGCAATGCCTTCACATACTTTCATAACATTCTGTCATTAATTGCTGTCACATTCGTAACTGGTAAAATATGTTCTGAACAGAGATGAGGGTTCTTTATCACCTCGCATAAACATTACCGCTGTTTACTTTGTTTTGTAGAAAAATATGTTATCACATATAAAGAAACAATGCTTTCTAAGGAATATATACCAGTCAACGATTAGGGGAGAACAGTTTGTATAAAATGAGACCAACTAAGCCCCAAAAAAACTAAATCCATGAGAGCAACTTGAATATGATGTCACCTTGAAGTGAGGAACTATTGTGGTCCAATGTTAAATACCAAAATTAGTTTTATTACAAATTACACAAAACAGACCACGATATGTCAATCACGATTCATAAAGCGCGCTTACTAAAATGCCACGTAGCACCCTCAAATGTCCAGTGTCACACTATCAAACAGTTCAGTTTCTCAAGTCTCATATTACTTATATACTAGAGGTTTAAGTATCTTCGTCGTCATTGTGCGCTTTTTCGTACTTAGAACTGGTGATTAAAGCAGAGTTATAAAGCGATACGTATGTTTCCAAAAATGACACGAATGTTGAACTCAAGGTTAGCTCTTATCAACTGGCAACTTAAAGTTTTTAATGAGTATTTTTCGCAAAAGTCAAGGAATCCTGTGCAGACGACAAAAAACTTAATATTTTTCAAATACTTAAACGATAATTCATTTATTTTGTTCTGTTGACTTTATTTGTAATCCACGCGTAATTTACACCGAGTGTTCACTTCGAGCTATGACTGACGTAATCTGAGAGATCGTGAATGTCCCCAATTATCGACATAAATTACCTGTCTTGATGACCACCTAAGACAGCTTTATCACAGATCTGAAAATTGATAATCTACCACAAACTTCACCGAAACGGTACAAGTAATCATGCTCATCTGTCAACGCAATAAACCTACATCGGCTGACCAGATAACATCGAAAATAACCTATCCTGGTGGGAAAAAAATAGCCTATGTCTACGGAAGAGGAAGATAAGAAAAAACACTGAACGTGGATAAGATGCACTTCAAAATAGGCAATAAAAAGCATTACACAGAAAGTCCTAACTTGGCATCCTTAAAACTGTGAATCTTGAACAGGCCCAAGAAAACAGCCTCGGAAAATGAACAAAAGCATAGATGCTAAGAATCACATTTACCTACATCTGTTACATCTCCAGGAGAAGGATAGGCTACCCACAAACATTCTCCATCCAACTTTGTTCTGGGCAATCCTTTCCAGTTCCTGCCACTTACTATACATCCTACTCATGTCTGCTTCCAAGTCTCTACTCAATGTGTTCTCGAGTCTTCCTCTTGTCCTCACGATTTCAAATCGGTGCTTGTCTTGTGTTGCAGCTTTATGATCCACTTTCAGCGCCTTCTCCCAATTTCATCATCAGCTGACATCCGATTTCTTCTTTGTTACATATATTTGTTGCTGACGGTGTCTAGTCAACAGAACTCTATTATACACAGTTGTTTATAAACATCTACACATGCTTGATGATGGTTGTATTGGTTCTTCACGTTTCAGCTCCGTACAGTAGAACTGTCTTGACGTTCGTATTGAAGATTCTGGCTTTCATGTTGACCGACAGATATTTCGAGTTCTATATGTTATTCAACTGTAGGAATGCTGTCACTACTTTTCCAATCCTCTCCTTTACATCTACATCAGATCCTCCACGTTTGTTGAATCATGGTCTACTTCGTTATTAGTACTGTTCTAATAATAGACCTAATCCTAAAATTGTAGATTTGTCATGATGTCACTACCAAATTTATAAGATCTCACGTGGAAGTCACTTAACTGACCCGTCCTTTCGTAATCATCACTATTATATGATGAACAACACACCTGGACTGGAGATTGAACAATATATTTCATATGAATAACAAATTGCACAGGAATGACGTCTGCAAGGCTGTTTTGGTAAAGACGAGGTTTCAAAACCGATTTTCCATACTAGACATACAATCTAGGATTTACAGGCATCATTATCATGTGAACACACAAAACTGATGTCAAGTTCAGAAACTGAAGGGGTCATTCAGGAACGCAAAACTGTTGAATTGGGATGCAGGGCTGGCGGCATAATATGAGACTCAATATCAGTAAAATGGTCGGGAGATTTAGAAGCTTCTGAGTTTTCCGAATCCACTGAACTTTCTTGAACTATTTTTGCATGATCTTCATTCGCATCAGATTTACATCGGTCTTCTTCGTCTTCTTCCTCTGCTGTTTCTAACCAGGTTAACCAGCGATTGACCTCAAATAATGCTTGCCATCCAATCAATTGAATTAATTATTCCCGCCTTCCCCATTGTTGAGTTTTTTGTGCTAAATGTTGAAAGTTTTTCCCCAGTTGTCTCGTGTTCAGCTTTGAGTATTGTGTGTTTGGGGCTCAATGCTACCACACGTTCATCGACGATGCATCTCAGATACGTTGTAGTATCAGTTTATTTGTTAAGCCCATATACCTTATTCTAGTTGCTGGCCAAGCCATTTTGCCTGTCATGAGTCATATTTTGATCTTCTTAATCATTTGCTTATTAACCTTGACTATACTTTTATATGAGCATATATGTGTACACTTCGTATCTTATTCATCGTATGTCTGTCACTCATTTTTGTCCGACTATAAATGTTGATTAACGCTTGCTTAAATCGAGTTGGCTTCCCAGCCATCTCCAATACGCATTGTTCTCGCTTCGCCCTCGAGTTGGCTTCCCAGCCAATCTCCATTGTGCATGATCTTTCGCTTCGTTCGCTTTATTCGCTTCATCACTCTGATTCTCTGGCCAGATCAATGACTGTAGAAAA